CCACCTCCAGCTCATGGTGAAGGGAGGTATCCCTTGGACACCCCCAAGCCTAGAAGTGCTTCCTTCTCAGACTACATGGGGCGGTTGAGTCACCAGCAGGCTTAAATTAGACCTGGATTGGACATTCTGACTCAGTAGGTGCAGGGCCTCTGTTGGGAAAATCTGCTTGCTTCAAGTCCAAGAATGTAGAAATACTCCAGGAACAAGAAACCATATTATCTGGCTATCCCAGGCAGAGGGTCCAGAGTTGTGGTAAAATATTTTCCTTTAAAGTCCCTAACAGGAGCCTCTGGGGAGGCCTCCCTACCTCCCCACCTGCTCATGCCCACACAGACCTCTATGTCAAAGGTCAGCTTCCCTTTGGAGTTCTACCTGCCCCACTGATGGTCAGGGGATATTGGTTTTGTTAAAATTGAATATGTATACTGAATAACTATCTACATATGTATAGATGCAAAAAAATAATAAATCTATATTCTCCCATTCAAGAGCACTACTAGGTACTGTGTGTTTGTTTCCTGGTGATCTTGCTGCTCAGAAGTTTTTGTTTTGCCTTCCTGAGGTATCACAGAGCCTTTTTGTGCTGCTCCATATGCACATGGGACCCCATTTCCCTGTGTTTATGTGGAGTTAGGAGTGAAGTTTGGGATTTAAACAGGTGGTTTACTGACCCTCACTCTTCTATCTTCCATTTCTTCTTTGTTGGGTTTAATGTGTGCAGCTTGAAATCTCTGGGGGAATAAAATAAAGCTCATGAATTAACTTTCCTGCAACACCAGGGAAAACCCTGCTCACAGTGCCACCGTGTGGCCATGAGGTCAAGATGGAAAGCAGGCAAGGGCTCAGCTCACAACCAGAGCAGGAATAATAGCTTTTTAGCAAACAGTGGCTACTCACAGCAACTGAGCCAGGCCCCTTCCTAACCAGAGTTCACGTCCTCTTTGTGGTCCTGAGAGTGTGGCAATCTGGACCTTGTTTTTCATGCTTAGTTGCATAGAACCTGGCCCTCGAAAGCAAGCTTTAACAACCTGCCCTCTGGCCTATAGCCACCCTGGTGATATCTCTTGATAGTTATGCCAATTAAGGTCTTCAGCTATGGTGGCTAGCATGTGTGAGAAGGAAGGAGTCTTGAAGCATGAGAAAAATCCTAGAAAGCTAAAGAACTTATAAGAAATGGCCCACAAGAAGAACTCATCAACGAATTAGCAACCAGCCCTTGGCCAAACTCAACCATAAGGGAAGAGGATTGGCTCTTCTCACAGATGAGGTAGGAAATGTGTCAGTCAATAAAGCCATGGGTAGGGGTCCATGGTCACAGGTGCACCTGGGTTTATTTCACTGTGTCCCATTCTCAAGTTTGGATGAAGGTAGATTTCACCAGGATTTGTAGTAAGAAAAGCTCCAAGGAAGATGATTACATTTCCCAGCATCTGCTCATGCTAGCCTGAGTGGCCCAAGGGGAGGGTGTTCAGACCTCTCCTTGTATCCCACAGCCACGTGAGGCCCACTCCTTGGGACTCCAGTCACAGCCTGCCCCATTCAACAACAACTGCCAAGCAGTCTGGCAGGCCAGAACCAGCACCCAAAGTGCAGCAGGCAGATCCTCTCTGCGTTTGCCTTTGCCATGGAGCCGGTGCATGGCAGAGCCAGAAGAGTTTCTGTTCTCTCTGGAGTTCAGCAGCAGCTCAGGCTCTTCAGCCACATGCCTGGACCACACCCAGAGGGACAGAACTGGGGGTTCTGAGACATGGCTGACACCCTTGCTTAAAGGAAAATAAGGAAGACACTGATGTGTGGTTACAAGGACAACACTTTCAATGCACCAAAGGACACCATGGCACACTGTTGCGGCATCCATGATGAAAACAGGGGCACACACATACACCCTCAGTATGCAAAGTCTTCCAGAACGATGAAGCACAAGTTGGACTTAACCCTTTTAAAAATAGTCATTAATGTCGGTAAATATTTCAGACACTGCTAGGGACAGCACAGATTTTCATAATTTTCTGCAGAGAAACCCACCTGTGTGTATTTGCTGTAGTTTGCTTTCTATTGCTGTGATAAAACACCACAACCAAAAGTAACCATCCATTACGGATCAACACAGAGTCCTTCTTCCCGGATGACCTTGTGTCAAACGGACGAACAATAACAACAGCAACAGTATACGCAGGGTGACTAAAAAGTGCTGTGGGATGGTCTGTATGTCAAATGTGTTGCTGATTGGTCAATAAATAAAACACTGATTGGCCAGTAGCCAGTCAGAAAATATAGGCGGGACTAATAGAGAGGAGAACTGAGAGAACAGGAAGGCAGAAGGAGTCACTGCCAGCCGCTGCCATGACAAGCAGCATGTGAAGATACCAGTGAGCCGCGGGCCACGTGGCAAGGTATAGATTTATAGAAATGGATTAATTTAAGCTATAAGAACAGTTAGCAAGAAGCCTGCCACGCCCATACAGTTTGTAACCAATATAAGTCTCTGTGTTTACTTGGTTGGGTCTGAGCGACTGTGGGACTGGCGGGTGACAGAGATTTGTCCTGACTGTGGGCCAGGCAGGAAAACTCTAGCTACAAAAGAAGCTGATGGAACCCAGGCCTAGGGCCTAGAGCAGCTCAAGAGGCTGAGCACTTAAAAATATTCTGCTATTATTTTTAGGTTTATGGATCTATCTGTGTGGGTGACTGCAGGAGCCAGAAGAGGTGTTGGGATCCCTGTAGCTGGAGTTACATACAGCAGGTTGTGAGGTATCCCAGATAGGATACTGAATTTGGGTCCTCAGGAAGAGCAGGACATGTTTTAGCCACTGAGTCATTTCTCTAGCCTCAGTGGTTGGACTTTTTGAAGTTCTAGAAACTAAAAGTGAAGGAGAGTTTAACGGCGGCCATGTGTGACTGACTTCTACGGGGCCCTCTGTACATAGCCTGCAGGTCAACAGCCAGCAAGGAAAAGCAAGCTCATTGGCACTGGCAGTGTCCCCAGACCATCTTCTGTGAGCACCTTCTACATTAGTCAAAATAAAAGCAAGGATAAATGTCTGCCTTTTGGACATCAGGTAGTTCAGCAGACTGGCAAACCCAAGTCCTGTAACAACTGATAGCATCAGAATACAGTATTTCAGGAGAACTTAGAAAAGACTGTGAGGCCCCTATTACCAAGCAAGGAAATCATTTACACACAGCTTTATTCTATTTTTTTTTTTTTTAGAAATTAGAAAAATACCTTAAGGTATGAATTATGTAACATTTCCCACAGCATCTTCAGGAACCTCAGGCTGTAATGAACTCTGCTGCCACATGGGGAGAGCTGGGAAAATTCTGGTGTATTGGGAGAAGGGTGGTTCTAAGGGCTTCGGCTTAGTGAAGAACTGAAGGGCACCAGGGGCTAGGAAGGGTAGGTGGGGGCTGGTCCTGGTAAAGCTGAGAGGACTGGGTTGTCCTGGGTCTGGTAGGTGGCCCACACCAGGACACTGGGAGTGGGTTGGTTGAGACCCTGAGTGTACAGGACTGCTCAGGTAAAAGGAATGAAGAGAGGGGTGAGCCCAGCCTTGACTCAGAGTCCCTGCTCAGCGCCTGTTCTCATCCTGGTCTTTGAGACCCCCGAGTACTCCAGACTCTATTTGGCCCAAGCCAGATGACCTGGGGCCCAGATGACTTGGGGTCCAGATGACTTTCTTCTAAGACCTTGAAATTAAGTTATACTACTTTATTTTCCTGTCATATCCATAAAATTAATAAGTGAACTCCATGGGAGTCTATACTCTGTCAAAGTGGATGGAAGAAAATAAAAATTCTACTACCATAGAGCATGGACAGAGGAGAGATGCGCGCCCTGTCCCTCCATCGATGCCTGAGACAGGTGGAGGAGTGCCTGGCCCTGGGGTCTGAAGACTGGAAGGGCTCCCCTACCCTTACCAGCTGCAGTACTTGGAAGAGTGGCCCCGGAAGCTCACCTGGCAACACAGAACAGCTGGCCCTGGTGGTATAGGTGTGGGAGAGCTGACTCTGGGGGCACGGAAGCAGGAGAACCAGCACCGCCCCTCGCTCATTGCTACAGGAAGTGAATTAGCCAGGGCAGTGCTGGAGAGCTCACCGTGGTGGTGAGGACAGGGGAGTACTGGCTGGATGACCCAGGCCCAGAACCAGGATTATGACTTGGCCCACCCCAACATCACCCCATCTATGATCTGCTGGAGCACGTGAAGGGACCTGATCCACAGACCCAAAGATACACAACACAGGATATCCAAGAAAAGTCCCAGTGAGGGCCCAGCATCGACAGTGTAATAGAAACCAGAGGCCTCGAACCAGACAAATGACTCTGCAATGGACACTTGCAAGAAAAGACAGTGGGCAAAGGAGATACTGCATACATGACTCACTGTGTCACACTGAAGCTTCTACGCTGAGATGTTTAATTTCCCATCCTTTTTTGCATAAATTTTTGTTTTATTTCTTTTGGGGGGGGTGCAGGGGTGGAGGGTGGATGTGAAGGGACAGGGAAATGAATGGGATTAATGTAGATGAATTTCTAAATGGTCTTAATAAATAAAAAAACATGGAGCCAGAAATTTGGGTTAAAGCCTGAGAGAAAGATCAGAGAAACAGGACAAACCACGAGCTAACCTCACCTTACCAACTCCGCAGCTTCCAAAGAGAGCGACTTCCTGTCTACCCAGGCTTATATGCCTTGCTGTTTCTGCCATCTGATTTGTTCTCTGTCTAGCTATATCTTCCTGGCCAACTCTGTTACTTCTTGTCTGTACAGGCCTCCAGAACTCTATGGTTGGTACTGGGATTAAAGGCGTGTGTCACCATGCTTGGCTCTGTTCCCTAGTGTGGCCTTGAACACACAGAGATCCTGCCTGCTAAGTGATAGGATTAAGGGCATGTGCTACCACGGCCTGACTTCTTTGTTTACTTAAAATGGCTTGCTATTTCCTCTGATCTCCAGACAAACTCTATTTATTAAAGCACAAATAAAATATCACCACAGATTAAGATACATGATGTAATAGAATAAATAAATAAAGATGCATAGAATAAATAAAAAGAAAATTCTACCACCAGTAAATATAGGTGGGCAGTCACACTGGGACTATGGCACACATGCACGGGACTGGGCACACAGGACTGGACACACATGAATGGGACTGGGCACACAGGACTGGGCACACACGAATGGGACTGGGCATACACATGGGACTGGGCACACATGCACGGGACTGGGCACACAGGACTGGGCACACACGAATGGGACTGGGCACATAGACACAGGACTGTGCACACATGCACGGGACTGGGTACTGCTGCTTTTTCTCTTTTCCAAATTAACTCACCAAGCAAACATATTTGCTTTTGTTGACTTCCCTTAAGAGAACTTGGGGGTGGGTGGCAGAGAGCATTAGACAAAAGCACAGTGTCTCACCTGTTCTCTTTTGTGTACAGGTGTAATCTGGGGCATGAAGCCTTAGAAAGTGCCTGATGTCAAGTGAGGTATTTATTTGAACACGACCCTGGGTCAGTATGAATATGGATCTGAATATTGATCCAATAAGCCTTAATAAAATTATTGAAGATCAAATTCAGATACATGTTTAAAGAATTCCACTCAATTAGTTATACCAGGTTACAGCAGAGCCTGGTGGCCAGCGTGGGCTCTGTCAGCTCCCTCTGCACTGACTTCCTGGCCAGCCTCTATTCTCTCTGCCTTAGACACACCCCCAGAAACTGGAGTGTGTGTTCCCCTGGGTGTGGCATGGAGAGAAGCCAGATGTGAGGACGTTGCTCCTTATGTGTGCTTGTGCATCCTGCAAAGGTCTGGAGACCTGTGGTCATTCACCTGGACTCCTCATGTGGGAAGGAAAAGTCCTTTCATGCTGCTCTGACATGGCTGGTAGGCTTTGATGTATCTATACTGCTTGTTCATTTTGTAAAAATGCCATGAAAGCAATCCTTTGTGATGGGCATTGATATTGGAGAGCTTTTCTCCTCTCCTGGTCTTTCTTTGCTGACAAATATACATCTGGTATTTTTTTTTTTAAAATCTTCCCACTTAGGTGCAATAACCTGTGCATTTGCTTGTAGATGTATGTGAATGTGTGTGTTCATCTGTGCTCATATGTGGCTGTATTGTGTGTGTGTGTGTGTGTGTGTGTGCGCACGCCTGTGCATAAATGTGTTCATATTACATGTGGATGTGGCATGTGGGTGTGGAGGGGACATATGATCTGCCGTCCCTATACTTTCTTGTGCCCCAGGTAGAGTGTACTTCACTGCTGTTCTCTCTTTCCATGGTGGCCCATGGAGGGCAGAGGTTGTGTTTCACTGAGCATGCACCTGATAGAAAGCAAATTACTCCCTATATTAGTGGACAACCCATAGATGGATTTTTTTAAGCAAAGAAATTCTTTTGTGGTCATCATCGGAAAGACTGGAGGCTGTTCCTGGACCATGCAGTGCCAGTTAGCTGAAGGCTGGGATGGGCATCCACCCTGACCACAGAGCTGTTAGTTATGCTGAACCATAACTTCAGTGATTGGTGCTCCTGCTCAGTGCAGGGACCATGGGCTGTTGTTACCACAGCCTCCTCCTGCCCCTTCACCTCTTAGGTGGGAAGAAGCAACTAAGAGTGGAGGTCAGGTTCTCTCTGGGGTTCCCTGAGGTCCCCATTTAAGGACAGGAGCTAGTGTGGACCACCACCACCCAGCACAAGACTGACCCCAATACATCTCAACACAGAGGGTAGAACACAGGAGAGATAAAGAGGGATGGAGGAGGATCAGTAGTGACCTCACTCTTCTTTCTCTACTGGACCTCTGTGGTCAGCCCCATTAGCAAAGGATCCATGTGCAACCCATTTGGAAGATGCCCGCAGGCCTGGCTTCTGGACCATGTGTCCCCAGAAGATGACATTCATGGATCCAAGTGGCTCCTGAGTGATCTACATCTCTTCAGAGGAAATTGCAGCAGGGTATCAGTGATATCCTTAGATTCTCTGTAAAGAATTGAAGAGGTGCCCTTCATCCACAGAGTTAGCATGGAGCCATAATCCTGTAGCTCTTTCCCCAGGGTCTCCATAAATATCCATTAGGCCCCCTTTCCAGACAGGATAAATAAGGAGCCATAATCCTCACCTGGGAAGCACAAACTGAGGGCCACCTAATTCTGGTTCCATTTGGCCATGTAAAGCTGGGCAGGCAGAACCAAAGCAGGGGAAAATAGTTTACCTGACGGCATTTGGGCAGTCTCCACCTCAGTCATCAGAGTGCTGATGTCTCTGAATAGGATTCTCTGGGGTTAAAACAGCTGCACAGTTGCTGAATGCGTATTATATGGCTAAACACGTATCTAAACACAGGCAGGTGTGTATCCAGTCTCCCATGGATCCCCTGGAGGTACAGAGAGTGAGGGTGGAGGTCATTCCCCTCAGTGACAGGAACACACACTCCCCCTTGTTTATGCTCCACCATCCTCCAGGAAGTGGTGCTGTCGACCTGTGTGGCTCCTGTTGATAGTGTCTGCTGGGGAATCCTCCTATCTCTGCTCCTCCTTGGGGCTGCCCTTCCCACTCCCCTGTGCTGCCACAATCCCACACTTCTTTTTTTTTTTTCGAGACAGGGTTTCTCTGTGTAGCTTTGCGCCTTTCCTGGAACTCGCTTTGGAGACCAGGGTGGCCTCTAACTCACAGAGATCTGCCTGCCTCTGCCTCCCGAGTGCTGGGATTAAGGTGTGTGCTACCACCTCCCGGCTGTCCCACACTTTTTTAATTTCAATTTTCTTAACTACTTTTACATTAGCCTTCAGAGTCAGGGGTTTCATTGCGACATTTCCCCTATGTCTCCTATACCATCCTCCCCACGCACATCTGTCTGTCTGCCTCTACTTCTCATCCTCCCCACGCCCATCTGTCTGTCTGCCTCTACTTCTCATCCTCCCCACACACATCTGTCTGTCTGCCTCTACTTCTCATCCTCCCCATGCACATCTGTCTGTCTGCCTCTACTTCTCATCCTCCCCATGCACATCTGTCTGTCTGCCTCTACTTCTCATCAGGTGTCAGCTGTAGTGGCTTCCTGGAACAGAGCTCCGTTCGGCCATTTCTTCGGAACAGCAGGAATTTTTACCTCCTCGCCGCCCTGGAAGCTGTAGTATGAGCTCATGGGTTAGACAACTGACTCCTACTGCAGGCCCTGGGGAAGGGATTGCCCTGGTTCCCCGGGCTTGTGGTGTCCGGTCGAGTTCCTGGACTAGGTGTCCGCTCTGCTTCCCAAGGTGACGTCACAATGACTCGGCCATGCCTTCAAAGGCCATTTCAAGAGAAGGTACAGCTGACGCTCCCCGGTTATCTCCACCCCAGTGCCACAAGCACGGTTGTCCTGTTTGTCTTCCCAGCATAGCACCTGTCACACCTGAAAGCCGCTGCATCAGTGGCTGTGTCCAGGGGCACTCTCTCTGTGACACACAGAGGCCTGGACCTTCCTGTCCACTCTGCTTGCTTTGTTGTGTCAGGGCCTCTGTCGACTACTGGTTAACCCCTGCCTCAGCAGAGCCCCACCATGAATGAATCAGAATCTCCTGACCGGGGGTGCAGAGCTGCCTTGTACATAGTGGCACATGTCCTCTATGTAATGTCCCTACATTAAGATTCACCCCCTTTACTCCATAATTACCATCCTGTGGACTTCGTTGTCTCACATGATGTTTGCATAGTGAACATGCCCGTTAATGCCCATGTACTTATGTACATGTACAGAGACTTAAATGGTTAAACATCTAAAGCAAATATACTCTGCGAATGGAAATCAGACCTTATTTTCTTTTAATTTCAGAGTTGTCTGTGGCAAGCTGACTTGAAAGATGTTGAAATTGGATAGGTAATTAATTCACACAAGCCTACAAGAGACAGGGAAAGAATGGACAAATTATTTGTAACATTTTGTAAGCACTGAAATTAATGTGGTGTGAATTTGTCATTTCTACCCCACGTTACAGATTTTCTATATTATAATTTAATCTTTTTAATGTAAAAAGAATAGGAATTTTGCCCTTTCTGGCCTCTTGGGAGGCAAGAACTAGTGTATCTAATTATCAGAACACATAAGAACATAAAGGAATAGCAAGTAGTGAAATTATAAATGGGCCGGAACAGGACCATGTTTTCTGATTAAAGCCTTTTTCTGGGCCCTTAGCAATCCTGTTGCCCCAATGTCCGTAGTAATTGCATGTGTCAAAGCTGAGGCTTTGTGTAACTGGGACCGGGAGACTTACAATTTTAATTTAGACGGAGATAACTGTATGGTGCTCGCAGCCAGCCGGACCGGCAGGTGGGGAGGCAAGCGGGCGCGGAAGGCTCAGGCCCCAGGGCGGCAGGTTAATGGCAAAGCCCCATCTAATCAGGGCACATCACAACAGTGGAATTTTTTAAGAAGAGAAATGCAATTTACCAATACAAAGCCAGCCACCTGCTCTCTTCCCTCTGTTGTCCATGTAAAGGAGGGCGTCTAATTTTCTCTATTGCTCAAGGGCAGTGCATTTTAACAATGGATCTGTAGTCATCATCACAAAGGCAACACACTTAAAATGAAATCTCTCCAGCATACTAGAATCTTAGAAACAAAGAGAATTATCTTTAACTTTTGGAATTCTCAGGAAAGCAGGAACCACGCTTTCTCCTCAGGAATCTGAGTTTCCTGTTTTGTTCAGAATTGCAGGTGACTTTTGTCTTTTAAGTTTATTTTCATGGAGAGACATGTTGATTGTTTCCAGGCAGGAAGTGCTGACTCAGCCCTCAGAGAACTGTCCAGCCACAGAAGGTTCTGGCTTCTCTCTTGGCGGAAGGAGGTATAACTGAGCTTCCATCAGAGCTGCGGAAGGTCACAGATAGCCACATGGCACTGAGGTCTGTGAGAAGGACATTCACCATGTGGAGCAGCAGTGACTCCTGGCTCTGGCCAGGGCCTTCTGGTGCGATGTGACTGCAGAGCAGGTGGGGTTCTGTGGATAACTCACTGTGGCTCTTCACCCATTTCCCCCCCAGTTCTGTTCTCTCGGTTTCTCCTTTGGAGCCCATAAACAGCCGGGGCTAATGAAATACTCCTCTTCCACCAGGGAGGTGAGGCGGAGCATGGTGTCCTTTGGAGGACCCTCTCCAGCTGGCTTTGGCATGGTCAAGTCCTCATTAGCAGATGGTGCTTTCTCCCCATGTCCGTAGAGAGAAGAGGCAGGAAGAAAACTTGAATTCTTTCATAAAGTCTCACTCTCCTGACTTTACATGGGTATCTTCCTAAGTCCCCGTCCCACGAGGCTCTCAGCATAGGGCTTCTGAGGAGACACCGTTTCAGCCCTGAGTATTTCCCACCCACTTCAGAGAGGGCAGCCAGCACGTCCTTTGCTTCTGGGGAAGCCTGGGCTTTAGTGCATCCTGTAGCAACTGGCATGCTTTAGCTTGGGATCAGGGCCTTACAGAGTAGGACCTTTGCTCTGCTGTGTAGCACTTAACTGCATACAAGTCATCATGCCCACCTGATGAGAAAGAGACAGATCTGAGCGTCATCCAGGTAACCTGCTCTGATTGTCCTCATGTTGGCAAAGGAGTTTAGAGAGGCTGACTGCCAGCCTGAGAGCTAGGACTTGACATCAATGTCCCTGTGCTGTGACGCAGCAGGTGCTATATAGACTGCCCAGTTCTGAAAATACCCCTGAAACCAAAGACCCTTTCATAGTGGTCCTCTGTCTGTTGTGGTGGAGCCGGGTCTGAGAACACTGGCCTCCCTCCAGAAGGGGCTGATGGTTCCTTTGGCTCTTTGGTTCCTTTGGCCTTGAGGCAGTGCCCTGGAGAGAAGGCAGGGATGTGACAGAAGCAAAGGGTTAGGCCCTTTCTGGGATCCATGGTACCTGCATTTCCAGACCTTGCTCCTCTGAGCTCTTTGCTTCCAAGGACCCTACCACGAGGAAAGCTACAGGCAGGGTGAAACTTCCTCAAGGCTTCCAGTGCTGTTCTTCAAGGCTCTCACCTCCATGTTCTCTGCCTTCATGGGCCACAGTCCTGCCAGAACTTTTAAGGTGTGAAATTCCCCCAAGTGCCCCCTGCAATACAGACTAATGATGGGCTCTCCTCAGGGATGCACATACAGTGGTAAAATGAGATGTTCAGTAGCTCAATGTTCTCAGACCCATCTCTGCCATAGCAGTGACCACCTCATCTGCCATTATCCAGGGACTCTGGGAAGCTCAGGGCAGCAGCCCCTGGATGGAAAGTCCCAGGGAGGCTGTCAGTAATGGGACTTGTATCTGGGTCAGTCTTGGGTTGGTGGACAAAGAACCCTAGAACAAGAGTCATCCATCTCTCTTCCTTGTGGTTCTATTTCCCCAGGTTCAACACTGCTTTTCAAGGACAGTTAAAACATCCTTCAAAAAAGCATATGAGCCAGGGCGGTGGTGGCACACGCCTTTAATCCCAGCACTCAGGAGGCAGAGTCAGGCGGATCTCTGTGAGTTCAAGGCCAGCCTGGGCTACAGAGTGAGTTCCAGGAAAGGTGCAAAGCTACACAGAGAAACCCCGGCTCAAAAAACAAAAACAAAAACAACAAAAATGAGAATAACACCTCTGCTTTGAAAAAGAACCAGCCAATCAATAAGTATGGAAGATTCATAGCCACAAGGACCTCCCTGCCACCCCAAAACCGCCAACCTATCTCCATGTCCTCTGTGCAAGACTCTCAGCACAAATGGGTACCTGCTCCCAGCTCAAGTGACAGAACAGTGTGGGAAACAAGTAGAGAGAAGCACATGGAATGTGCTGTGTGCTTTGTAGAAGTCGGCTTATAATAAACTGCTATGAATGTAGCTACTCACGTCTGCTGATTTACAGTAGGTAATAAATTCATGTCAAGAGAACTGGAGATGCTATGGGCTTAGTGGTCCGTCAGGAGTGTCCTAGGTCCTCAACACCTGAACACTCAGGCCATAGGCATGATTATTAGTGACCTGAGTGCTGTCCATGACTCACATTCAGGGCCACATTCTCTTTGGACTTGAGTGGATTCTGATGTTCTGTTTATCTGGCTCTCAACTCTGCTCCCATTTCATTTGTTCAGATTCCAGATCTGCTGGGTCTGGGCTGGGCACTGCATGCACATGTGGGAAAGAAACTCCATTCCCTGACTTTTCATAACCATGGCAAACCCCTGAGAGAAATAGGCTGAAAAAGGAAGGATTTACTTTGGGCTCAGCATCTTAGAAGACAGAGTGCCTGGTCGTTTGGCTCCTGAGCTGCGAGGCTGTGGTCAGGCACAGCATCACGGGAGGAGGGCATGTGAAGCAGAGCATCATGGGAGGAGGGAGGGCTTGTGGAGCAGAGCATCATGGGAGGAGGGAGGGCTTGTGGAGCCAAGCTGCTTGCTTCATGGTGGTCAAAATGCAGAAAGAAGTAAGAGGAAGGGGATAGATCCTTCAAATGTGTGTTTTCAGTGACCTGCTTCCTCCAACCAGGCTTCAATTTCCACAGTCCTTGTCCATATATGTTTCTTGAACTGTTTTACTGTGGTTTCAGTTGCAAGCATTATATAGGGGTCTGCAGTCCTCTTATAATTGATTGTGTGCTGGGTGAGAGCTGGGGATGTCCGTTTATTCTTCTGCTTGTGGATATCCTATTTTCCTGGTACCGTTAACTGAGGAGACTTTATTTTCTCTTATGAGTATTTTTGGTCCCATTGTAAAAAGTCAGGTGGCTGCTGCTGTGTGGGTTGATTTCTGAGCCCTCTGTTCTGTCACACTGGTCTGCACATCTCTTTCTGTGCCAATAGATGTTTTTGTCACTTTGACTAGTATAATTTGAGATCAAGTGTTGCAAAACTTTTAATAGTAGTACTCTGCCTAGGACTGCCTTGGATATTTGGAGTATTTTGTGCTTCCATATAAATTTTAGGGGTTCCCCCTATTTCTGTGAATGATGTGACTGGAATTTTGGTGTGGATTTCCCCAAATTAGTAAACTGCTTTTTAGCAACATAGCCATTGGGTTAGTCATTGTTCCTATTGTGATAAAATGATCGACTATATCAATTATGCCAACACATTAAAATGGAGTTCTTTCTATCCCTCAGAGTCTTATTCACTTTTTCTTCTGTGTTTTAAAGTGTTCATTGTAGAGGTCTTTCACCTCTACCTTTAGATTTATTCCTAGGTATGTCTTTTCTTCTTTTTCAGAGGAATCATTTGTGAATGAGATCCCTCCACTGATTTCTTTCCCAGAATGTTTGTTATTGGCATGCAGACCTTTGCATGCTGACTTTTAATTCTCCTACTTTACTGAAATTGCCTACCACATCTACAGACTTTTTGATAGAATCTTTAGAGTCTTTTAAGTATAGAAGGATCATGTTGTGTACAAAGAGGGATGATTTGACTTCTGTTTTTCTTCTTTGGATT